TATGCTCAGTGAAATAAGCCAGAAGGAAAAAGAAAAATATCAGATGGTTTCACTTACAACAGGAATATAGGGGAACCAAATAAGACATCAGTGTAAAAAATAATAATAATAACAGTATAAAACACAACAAAGCAAAAACAGACAATTATAAACCAGAGACATACTGCAGGGGAGGAGGAGGGAGGGGGTGAGAGGGAGGGAGGAAGGAGCACAGGGGACTGTGGTGATGGTGCACAGATGCCTTGGGGAAGGAGATTCTATGGGGACTCAATCTGAGGGGGTGGGGGGATGAAAATATGGTCTGAAAATATAAAAAATGATAAATGTTAAAATAAAAAAATGAAAAAAATACCCATTGTAGATACATGGGAGATCCTTTACCATCTAGTCAGAATGAATTACTTTATTCACAGTCTCTTCTACATCTCCTCTCTTCAGCCAGAGATAGTCTATTTCCTTCAATGAATTTGAGTGTGTTGAGTGTCATAGTTTTTCCAACAAATCACCCAAATACCCATCCTCTCATAGGCAAATGCCCAGCCAAGCAGAGTTGTTATGGAGTCGGAGCCACTAAGTCCTGAAGGCTTGCCAAAAATCTAAGGCATCTTCTAGTGGGGAACCATTGAAAAGGGGTTCTGGAGCAGGTCCCAGAAAGCTAGGACAAAAGAAACAAAATCAAAGTACAAATCAAGGCAACAGCTGCCATTGTCAGCCTCACCAGGGATCTCTCACCCACCCCATGTGTCTCTTTCAAGTGTCTCTACATGTTTCCTCCATGTCTTCTTCCCAGCAGTTACCAGCTTACATGTCTAGCCATAGAAACCAGAAACTATTCTTTCTTCTTCCCCTGAGCCCACCTGCCTTCCATTTTCTTTAGCTTCACTTGGAAGCTCAGCTACTTCACTCATTAAGTGGGGTGGAGCACATGGCACCTCCCCTTTTTTTGAAGTTGTCTCTGTAACAATCTCAGGGACATCAGCAGAGCTTGGAGATATGAGACAGGGAAAGGAAGGTTAGGTGTAAGTCTCTTACCATTGGGAAGTTAGTCTCAGTTCTACTGTTAGAATGGGGGAGATGCTGTTTGGACAATGATATAGAACATGCTCAGATATAGAATCAGTATATCTGAGAAGCAAAACCTATGAGTCATTTGTGAAAGGCTGCTCTAGAAATATTAATTCCCTCATCTTCCTTCAGTAGATTCTAGCAACGCAGAAAAGCCCTCGGGGCTGGTGATTGGAAGGGCAGCATCAGCAGCAGCCACAGGGAGCGAAGTGTCAGGAAGAATTGGGTGTAGGTAGGGCACCCATATCTTCAGGGATTCTATTGTAGCCTCTCTTTTCTCTTAGTTAACTCCAATTTTCCCTTTAGAACTCAGCTCAAGGCTCATATATTCTCAAAGTTTTCCTAGGCCTTCACTCTGACTTACCTGCCTCTTGTCTGTTTCCCAACAGAATTTATTACCTTCATCACAGAATCTCTTAACTGCCTCTTCTGATTTTTCTTTTATTTTTCTTTGTCATTTGCTTGCTTCTTTGTGGTTTCTTTGGGGAAAGGGATTGTTGACCTGTGTCTTCAGAGCTTTGCGTAATTTTCACATATGGTGTAAGCAACAGATGGTTATTAAGTAGTAAAGGTAGTAATAATAATAATGACAGTGATACTATTTATTGAATGCTCATTCTTTGTAAGCATTTTATGTATATTACCAACTCTAGAAGGCTCGTTCTTTTATTACTCCTATTTTCTAGGTGAGGAAACTGAAGTACAGATGTATATAATTTACTCAAGATTACATAGCTATATACATCTGGACCTCAAAATTAACCTGAGCAACCGAGTACAGATGCTGAAGGCACCCTTAACTACAATATGAACAAATGAGTAAAGGGGTGAAATGAGTAAATGAATGAAAGATAACATCAGTCTGACCCTTTAACACATGGGGGCCTGTCTGGGGAAGGTGTGTTCAGTACCGTCTAGTTCAAGTGTCATCTCTAATGCCAGATTTGTTAAGATCCTTTCCCAGTAGCCCGACTGAAAGCATCTACTCCTCCTCTAACAGCTTCTGTCATAGCACAGAATGTTCTCTACCACTAATTCAAATCCATCTGCATGTCCTTGTTTCCTCACTAATGATAGTTTTTTAGTGTGTGAGTCAACTTGGTATTTTCTATTGACCCAAACACTAATTCTTGAATATAATAGACTCCCATTGAGAGTTTGTTTGCCAGATCAACAAATGGTTACATATTTGGCAAGTAAGGATATCTTTGACTCTTCCTGGATGTTTTCCTAGTAATACTGGAGATTTTTTTTCCAGCCCCCCTCTGAAAGTCCATAGTCTGTTGTCATAGAGATGTTAGACAATGGTGAAAAATAAAATTTTGCTTAACTATAGTAAATTCCAGGAAGCTTCTGTAAAGAGTTTAATTTACAACATTTTGATAATCATTTGGTTAGAAAATTATATTTCTAAGAAGTAGTAATTCTTCTTTCCAAAGCTGCTTTCATAGAATAAAAGAACTATATAGAAAATCACTACTATTTCTACAGTATCTCAAGAATATTTACTTCTTTAAAAGTAAATATTTAATTTTTAAAAATTAAAATATTTAAAGAAGAATATATACTTCTTTGAAAGTTAACCATGCCCATCAAGAACTACCTTTCTAAAACCTCAAATTAAATGCATTTTCCATTTCCACATTATGGCCTTTGATCTTCATTAATAACTAATACTTATAGAAGTGCCATATTGAATGAATTTGGCTAGTAACTGATATATTCAGAAGAAAGTCCTCATTGTTTTCAGGTCATCATAAGTGCAGATACATGATATGCCAACATGTAGAAGATATCAATATATAGGAAATAACAGAAATTTAATTCAGCAGAAATTTCTTTATTGATTCCCATGTATTAAATAAACCACAATACATACCAGATAATATGAAAGAACATAAGACATGGTCCTTAGTTTTGCACTACTTATAATCAGGAGGTGGGCATATGGAAGAAAATATGTTAGTAACTTGGTAGTGGAATTTGATGACAACATAGCTAATGTTTATTTAGCACATATCAATTTCCTCATTTAATCCTTACAATTCTATGTAGGAGGCATTATTAATATCCTATCCTAGACCTAATGATCTTCCAAGATCAAATATCTTTTAAATGAATGGGTGAGTGAAGGAGCCAGCCTGCAGAGCTAAGCCCAAAAAGCCTTAAAGTTCATACTCAGAAGGCAATAAAAATATGGAAGACAGAAGAGAACACTATTCATTCAAACTTGAGTGGTGAAGATGTTATGATGCCTCAGCTTGATCTTGAGGGATGAGAGTGAATAGAGATGGTGAAGGGCTACACTTTCAGGACTGAGACAAGTACCAGAAACTAAAGGCAGCCTGGAGAAAATAGCCCATTGAAAATAGCCCTGTATGATTGTGGCCATCCATAAAGGTGGTAGTATGAGTAGAATAGGGGTGACAAAAGTGTTTGGAACTAAACATTATGGCCTTGATTGTTACCCTGAAAAAAACATAGACTTTTTCATTAGGCAAAAAGGAATTAATTAAACGGTTATAATCCAGACCAGAGAACCAGAGTGATTTGGCAGCTTTGTGAAAATGAATTGAAATCAGGAATGGGAAAAAGAGAGAAGCAGTTGGGAAACCATGACATAGGGAAGGAAGATGACACTGATAGCCTGGATTTTGGTTGAAGTCATTTGAGTGAAAAGAAGAAACATGGAAATGAGACAGGAATTGGCCCTGACAGGGGCAAGGAACATTTAAGAGAACTTCAAAAGTTCAAGAAAAATATTGGATGGTTTCACTTAATAGGGGGAATATAGGGGAACCAAATAAGACATCAGTGTATAAAAAAACAATAACAACACAAAACACAACAAAACAAAAATGGACAGTTATAAACCAGAGACATCCTGCAGGAGAGGAGGAGGGAGAGGGACAGAGGGAGGGAGGGAGGAGCACAGGGGACTGTGGTGATGGTGCACGGGTGCATTGGTGAAAGAAATTCTATGGGGACTGCACTTGAGGTGGGAGGAAGCAAATATTGTTTAAAAATGAACAATGATGTGAAAAAGGAAAATAAATAAATAAATATTATGTAAAAATATTTTAAAAAGTTAGAAGTTCAAAAATGCAAATATGCCCTCTACAGCATGGAGAAAGTTCTCCTTTTCCAGTTAAAGGTCGGTTGTACTGGGCAGTGAGATAAGAGAAGGTGCAACAGGTGGGAGTACTTGGGCAGCAGTTTGGATTAGCAGGAATAGCAAATGAACACTTTGGACAAGTCAACCTACAACCAAATGATAATGCCATGTTTTTCAGGTATTAGATGTGAGCAGGCACAGCTTTACTAAATGCAGAAAATATGTCATTTAAATCATGTTTATTTTATTTCTTGGGAATTAAGGTGATTGAAGTGGCAAACATTATTTTTATAAGACAGATCATTGTGGGGCCTCCCTGGTGGCACAAGGCTTAAAGTCTCAGCACTATCAAGCTATCACCAGCCACTGTGGCATGAGTTTGATCCCCAGCCAGGAAGCTCACCCACATGACACAGCAGACCTCTCCTGTCTCGCCTGCTGCTCCCTTCAGCAGTGTATTTCAGTCAATCTGCCTGTTCTGTTCTCCACTCCATCTCTGGTGAATCCTCTCACATCCCCCACACACACCTCTGCTCTATACCTCATAGACCAGAGGTCTATTCATAAATAAATAAAAAATTAAAATATCATGTGTATATAGTATGTTATAAATACATAATAATTTTTAAAAAGGAAATGTAAACCCCAGGTGTTATATTACACTTCTGATGAACATAACAAGATAAAACAGTAGAAATGCATGATTTAATGATATTTTTTTACTGAGATTTACGTTTTCCTTGATTTCTTTCAGTTAGTCAAATTGAACCATTCTGGTGTTTCTAGTTTTCATATGAGTTTTTCTCTGATTTTTTAATAGATGATAATAATGAAGAAGAAGATGTTGATATGAAAGAAGACTCAGGTATTAAATTTATGATTTTATTCTTATATTGACAGGGATCATTTTGTTGCTAACATTTTTTCAAAGAAAGACAAATTAAGGTTAATAAAATAGAAATGTATGCTCAAGGTCATAAGATGAGAAAGTAGTATACTAACTCCTATGGCTAGTATTTCTATTTAAGCATTAAACTAGACTTTGAGTTCCCAGGCAGCTCGGGTGAAATGGAAAATGAGATTATAGTTTAATAGAGTTGTATAACAAATCCCCCCCAAGTCCGATGGTTAAAACATCAATTTATTATGCTCATATAGCCTGTGGGCAAAGAATTCAGCAGGAGGAACTTGATCATCCTGTTCCACAAGGTCTGAGGACTCAGAAAGAAGACTTAGTACCTGGGGGCTAAAAATCATCTGAAAATGTGTTCCCTCACGTCTGACTGGTGACTAATAACAGCTGTGAGCTGAGCCCTTAGCTGGGGCAGCTTGAGATTCTCAGCTGAGTGCTTCTCTCTGATAGTAAAAGCTAACTCAAAATATCAAGGTGTCAGTTTCTCTGGAATAGCCCTCAACCAATGATAGACAAGAATCAGTTGATCCAGGGCCTCCCTGGTGGCGCAGCGGTTGAGCGCTGGGTTGCGAAGCTGCCCGCAGCCTCTGCAGCGCTGGTTCGATCCCCGGCTGCTCCCTGGCTACCGGAGGAGGGTCCCACATGGCGCGCAGACCTCTCCTGCCGCCCTCTGCTCCCCTCAGCAGTGTACTTCGGTCCTTCTGCCTGCTCTGCTCCCCGCTCTGCCTCTGGTGAATTCTCTCACCCTCCCGCGCTTCTGACTGTACCCAGTGCATGTATAAACCAACCAAACAAATAAATAAATAAGACATACCTCTAGAAAATTAAAAAAAAAAAATAAATAAGTAGAAAAGAAAAAAAAAAAAAAGAATCAGTTGATCCATATCCTACCAGACACACTTGAGGCATGTTCTATTCCAGCTCTATTGAGGAGAAATATAATGTGAACCTCATGTATAATTTCAGAATTTCTACCACATTGAAAAAAATGTTAAAAATGAATGAAAATACTATTTTATTTAACATAACACATGTAAACATCATTCCAATAATATAAAAATTGTTAGGCAGATATCTTACATTTATTAATACTAATTTTTAAATTTTTTGTGTGTACTTTACATTCACCTCTCACTGCAGAATGGACACATCTCAAGTACATGTTAGGAATATGTGGTATTGGACACCAAGATTCTAAACCATCAGGCTCTCTACCATAAGATGCTATTCCCAATATGACACTCCCAATGAGTGTTCACCATAGGACTTGCTCATTAACACACCTAGTATTTACTATTTTACATTTTCTCTCTCCTTCCTTATTCTCTTATAGTGCTTCATGGGCTAATCTCTCAAATTAAGCACTAGTACTCAAACTTTTGTCTCAGTGTCTACTACTGAGAGAATCTAATGAAAGACAAAGATTCACTTGCCTTTTCTAAAACATAAAGCCCAAGAAAAAAATTCAGTGAAAATGTCAATTTCCATTTGCATGGAAGTATTTAGAAGACTCACGTCTTAAATGAGTCTTCATTTAAGTGGTCATTCTGTCTTAGATTAAATCCCATGAAATTCCAAGCATTGTTAATATTTGCTGTTTTCATTTATCCTGTTTACTTGAATATCCTTGGAAATATCCTTCAGCCACAGAGAGCACTGCCCTTTTAGCCAGTTTAAGGACCTTATTGGGCCAAGGCTCATTTGACTAAGTGCCATAAGTACATATTTCTAGGCAAAAGGAGTTGACTTCATAATGAGATGCAGCTAACAATCCAAACCACTGAGTGGTTTTAAAGAAATCATTATTAATGCTAATAAAGAGTCAGCATTTGAGGTTTGGGGGCATTAATTGGGTCATTATTTCAATTTTAGTCCTACCAGATTTCCTGGGGGATTTCTCTCCAGCAGCTGGACACAGCTGTTCAAGTCACACTCAATGGCCCAAGAATGCTAACTCACTGAGGCAAAATGGCCCTGGGAGCTGCTTTCCATTTCCTAATATCCGAGTGCTGAAATCACTGGGGGGTTTCTGTGCGGATAGTTCCATGATGTGCCAGCTGGACTTGCTAGACGTTGGTGAGCAAATTGGCTTCAGTTCAGATCTCATATTCCAGTTTTTTGGTTTCCAAGGATGAGTCTGAACCAGCCTCTCAAGATCATTAACTGCTGCCTTCCTTTGGCCCTGTATCACCTCTTCTTCTCCTCATACAAATAGAAAAGTTGGAGGGATTTTTAAAGCTGTAATAACCATAACGAATCAAATGTCCAGCAAATGTTAGTAATGATTGCGAATAATAATTTGAATTCCTAAAATCAGTGAGAGGCAGCTAAATTTGTTTTCTGCATAGGGGAAACCTGATGAAAAATTTTCAGAACTTTATGGTGTAAATACACCTACCAATGTACTATTCAAGTTACCAAATGTGAGGCCGATGAATGTAGAGTTGGGGAGAGATGGGTACAATCAGGTGGTATAAGCTGGCTCAGGTCAGCTCCAGCATACCTCTGCTGAGCCATACTTAGCTTGAGAATGTAGCTTGTGCCAATCACACAATAAACATGAACTCATTTAAGACATGCAACACCTGTAGGAAGGAGACTATGTCTGTTGTTAGCTGAGGCTTGGGAGAGATTAGTTCTTGTTTAAACAGCAGAGCTGGAATTTGCACTCAGGTGTGTCCAACCTCAGAGTTCATGTTCTTAAATCCCTAGCTCTTGTGCCTAGGCTCTGATAGTAAGCAGAGACAAGCACATCTTGGATGGTGTCCAGCAAGGTCATCCTCAAGGTGAGGTTATGTCCATGGGAGGTGGTATAAATAGATTGGCTTAAATGCCTAGCATCTCTTTTAAGTCCTTATTCAGTTTCTTTAATTCTAACATAGTAAATATTTCCCCATGTTCTTCCATTTTCAAGACCATACACTGTTGAAATGGGCCCAAACTCTACTACCAGGGACAGAAAATCAGTAGCCAATGATGACAGATCAGGCATATCATAATCAGGAACACAGTTGACTTCATTAGGAGACAAAGTTTTATTAGGGCCAAGCTCCAGGTTTCTACCCTCTGAAAGAAACAGAGGCAATGACATAGATAACACGACATACTGCCAAGGAAATGATTTTTTTTTTTTTTTTTTGAGGAACCGTCTTTTAGCTTCCCCACACTAAGAGAATTGCTCCTTCTGAACCACAAGTAGAAATGTGAGCATAGAGAGACATAGGTGTCATCAGTTTTCATTTAAGTGTCCCCAAACATCTATTCACCTGTGCTATGAAATTATACTATACTTATGTCATAGATGACTGCTTACAATGCAGGCATGCCCACCACTGAGGAGTGCTCTACAGTTTTTTTCAAAAAGTTTTGGGGAACTTAAAATATCTCAAAATGTAGATAAATTGATGTCTTTTTAAGTCTCACCTATTCCCCATAAATTCTCATTCAGGTGAGATATCAAAAATTAAATCCTCAAAAATTCACTTCTAGGAAATGCTGATTTAAAGCTGAATTCCTGGCACTAGCAATACCCCTTTTGGTCCCAGGTGCAGACAATGCATTTCAGGGGCAAGAAAGCTTTAGAGTCTTCTCTCAGTGAGATTGTCAATGTTCCCTTGCCCATTTTACAAATTCCTTTGAGCCCAGCATCTGTGCTCAGTGAGCTGTTCCAAGCATCTCATTTATGGTTTTCCTGAACCCATTCCAAAGGGTCAGCATCCATCTCACACCTGCTGACAGAGTTTGGGTGACTTGCTAATGTAGTCATTGGCAAAATTTTTCACCCTGGCCTTGGTAATGACCTTAGAGGTGACTGACTTGCAACCAAAGAAAACCAACCTACTGTCTAAAAACCTTTGTAGTTCATAATGCCAATGGTTTTAATAGCACATAAATGAAATTCATTTTTCATTCTGTTTCCTTTTTAATAAATGGGGGGAGATAGTCTCCCCAGCTCTGTTGTGTAATTTTAGAGTCCTGACATAAGGTGGCAGCTAAAAGCATGAGCATTAGACACAGGCTCCATTATATTTTGGCCTTAAAGAAAGGTGTTAAAGAAAAGGAAGTATAAGGGGGAAATGAATAGAATTTGAAATGAAATTCTCAAGGTATTACTAGGCACAGGGAGGGATTCAAGAGAGATTAGGAAGGCCTAATATCCTTTTTTCTTGGAACTTACATTCTTGGGGGTAGGATGGAGGAAGGAAACACACAACAACAAAAAAGGAACAAGATAGTTTCAGATACAAGTAGTTGTGTGTTTGAGAGAGATTTCTTATGCAAGGACTTTTCAGATTAGACATTCAGGGAACTTTTTTTTTGGAATTTAATTTGATCTGAGATTCAAAGAGTGAGAAGGAAGGAGATGTGAATATGTGTGTGTGTGTTTGGGAGGGGGTGGTAGAAGAAAAGCAGTGCAAAGGCACTGAGGCAGGAGCCAGTATAGCAATGACTGAAAAACATAAAAGGAGCCAATAAACTTGATGACAAAGAACAAATGGGAGATGAGACTAGAGCAGTGGGTGCAGCCTAAGAGACATGTTGTCCTGAGCCACAGATTTGGACTTGAACCATATTCTAAGAGCAGTGGTTTTTAAGCAGGTAAGCTACATGATCTGGTGTATGTTTTTAAAGATAACTCTGGCTGCTACATGGACAGTAGAATGCAGGAATACTGGAAAGCTAGATGTTAGAATTTAGAAGGTTATTGCATTAACCCAGGTAAGGGTTTTGGACTGAGACAATGATTATAAAGGATGAGCACAGCGGATGGATATAGAATATATTTTGGAACAGAACTGATAGGATTTATATATATAACTTACTCGAGAATTAAATGAAAGAAATATAAAGGATGATATCTCAATTTTTGCTTTAGATTCCTGTATACATAGAAATATCCTTTAAGGTATGGGATACTATGGAGAGACTAGATTTATAGACACCAAGAGTGTTGTCCTGACAGTGTTGTTGAAATGCCCAAAGGGATTATTTATATAAACTTGAAATGCCTGATGGGAGTTGAGTGAATGGAAATCACTAGAAATGGAAGAGTAAGGTGTGCTTAAGTCCCAACCCTTCAGGGATAATGAGGAGGTGCTAGTCATAGGACATAAAGGATAGAGAGCACCATGTTGAAAAGGCCAATAGCTATGACCATAGATTGAAGGATATAGCTGGCCCATGAAAACTATAGCTAACCTAGTAATAGTTCCCTGTGGGCTGATTCTAATAGGAAGTCAGAGAACCAGGGAATTCATTGGTGTATTCCATAGACACAAGTTTTCCAACACAAAGAAGGAATAGAGGTAGAGATGGAGGAGGATGAAGGTAGAAAAGTAGATCTGGAGATGCAACCAGAATCCAAATGCACAACAAAACCTCCCTGGTGGCTAGCGGTTAGGATTTGTGCTCTCAAATGCAGAACAAAATGATACATGGGCAATTGCAGAAAAAGTTGTAAGGTTGATAGAGAAACCAGGGCTGGAGGTACAAATTAATGTTTAAAAAATTGTCCTGTAGAAGAAGAATGAGATGAATTTGGAGATGTTTTCTAAAACTGCCTTGAGAATTTAATTTATTATTTTACATGGATAGACTTGACAAGGGAAGTGATTGAAAAAAAGTGAGAATCACAATAATTTAATTGGGGGAGGCAGAAAGAAGTTGTTTAGAATCTACATTACTAAGGAGGTCTATTAAATAGTAGAGATAATTTTAAACCCCACTCCCTCCAAAATGAGATAATATTGCCTTTCATCTAGCTTTATTTTGAAGGAGAAATTGTATGACATTGTTAATTAATCCATGAAATTTTAAGTCAAAATCTCCTGGAGGAAAAAAAAACCAATTTGGGGTTGCTATATGGAGAATTTACTAATTTTTTAAAAAGCGGCTAAGATTTCAAATGTGTCTGAATCATTAATGATGGCTACAAAAATGTTTAAATTGAACTTTAAGTCTGTATTCATTGGAAAATCACAGTTCTTTGCCAAAGTTTAGCTCTGCCATGATGATAGATGAATCTGTGATTAAGCTTCCTTGTATATACGGATTTACTAAGAAGAAAACTTGTTTAAGCTTCAATATAATTTTGAACCCTACTGGTAAATATTTAAGTAAGAGTGTATTAAATCTTTGTGTTTCCAGAGGGGTTAGAGCCAAAAGGACTCTCTCCACCCCACAAGAAGAGCAAAGCAAAGAAGCCAGAAAGTTCGAAAGATTCTAGCGAGGGTAAGTTGTATACCAAATTTCTTTTAAAAATCATGCCACAAGAAGACACTTCCACTTAATTTTTATATTATGTATGCAATATCATTTTCAAATATTTCTAAGTGTTCAAAAATCATAAAACAATTCTTTATCCTTTCCAAATGTATCTACTCTTCCCTGAATGTGAATATGAAAAGTCAGGTTTCATTGCTAAGGTAAAACTAAATTTAAAAAATCATTTTCTGAATTTGATATATTTTCCATTTCTGCAAAGTGGAAAGATATTGGTAATATCTAAAAGTTAGGTGTTCTGATTTTTTTTTTTCCCTCATGAACACATTTTCAACCCAGAATCGATCCTCAACAACGGATACAGGAAATGTCTCTTGTCTTCATGTTCTTTTCCACTTTCTAGGAGCCACACACCTTTGAATGGGTAGGTCCATTTGGGTTCAGTTTTATGAGGAAATGACACCACTACCACTTACAGGTTATTCAAATTTTCTCTCAAATGTAGACAGGAAATGTCTCTTGTTTTCATGTTCTTTTCCACTTTCTAGGAGCCACACACCTTTGCATTGAATGGGTAGGTCCATTTGGGTTCAGTTTTATGAGGAAATGACACCACTACCACTTAGAGGTTATTCAAATTTTCTCTCAAATGTAGATTACGTACTTCTAAGTGATCTTTTAACCCAAGAGTTTGCATAAATTTCTGAGAGGAGAAAGCATTTATGCCTTCTACTTTCTTATTGAGATTTTTAGTATCCCTTTCCCACTCACTCTTCAGCTATAAGCAACTTGGGGAGAAAGCAGCCTCCATATGGACTTAATGCTGTTGTGGATCCCAAAAGTGTGACCTCTGGATGCTGTCAGCTGATTCCATTCCCAGCATCAGGTTCTCTCTAAAGAGGAATATTGAGCAGCAACCCTGCATGATTGCTCAGCATCTGTGTGAATGTCAGGGTTCCAGATAAGTAACTACACTGCCTTATCCTTCATTGGGGTTCAGAACCCACTCAGAAAGCAAAGCTATAAGAAAGTTTGAAATCAAAAACATTTAGCTTTATTACTGATAAAGTTGTACCAGAGCATCTTGTTGCCAAGCCTCCAAGATGGGGTTTCCAATGCTGGATTTCACCCCTGACTATGGAATACATACCCTCAAGGATAGGGATAAGCATAGGGGCACTGGGCTGCCCTGGCAAGCTTTGCTTTTGGAGAGAAGATGCATGCTTTCTGTAAATAGATAGGACTCTTCCTTCTCCCAGCTCACCACAAGTCAGGAGATGTGGAGAAGGACACAACAATGAGTGCTCCCTGCCCACACTCAGGTGAGGAACAAGAGAGAAACATTTCCAACTAACAGTGCACAATAGAAGCAGTCAACAATAGACTTAATATGTGTAAAGTGCCTTGCATAGGCCTGACTTCCCATTAGTGATGACTGTTAAAATTGCTATCATAATGTGCACCTTGATAGGGTAGGCATTGCCCCAATGCCCTGAAATGTGCTTGAAAGTTTAGGATCATTCGGAAAATACTCAGAACCATGGAGTAGGTCAGTAGCTCTAATTGGCCCAAGGTGGTGAGCTTTGTTTGACTCTGATTGGGAGAGAAGCCAGGGCTTCCATCTTCTGCTATAATTAGGTCATTTCTGAACCATCTCTTAAGGCCATTATTGGGAATGAATTAGGGGCAAAAAAACCTGCCTCTTGCTACAGAGGGCTCACTGAGTGGTTTCCATCAAATGCATGATCTGTGCTGAAAGTTGTTTTCCAGAGCCTGAGTGGGTTATCATTTTTGAGGGTCACAGGGTAGGTTATAAACTGCAGCATTTGTGTCACCTTCAATTAATAAGGGAATCCATTGAGTTATTTCTTCAAATTGTGGTGTTTACTTCCTATATAATTTGTTTTGTTTAGGAACGTCATTCCATAATCCTAAATGACTAAAAACATGGTTTCATTCTCCCAAATACGTGGTCTCAGAATCCTGCTTGTTACCAGGATGTTCTCTCTATGGCGTCATGGTGAAATGTAAACATTGGTCACTTCACAGAAACTTGGGAATTATGATCCTATTCCTAAAATGGCTTTAATGACAAAAAAGTAAAGATTGTTGGGAAAGGGGTAAGAAAGGGGAATAATCTGAATGGCCAGGGGTGAAGGACTCTGTGATATGTGCTCAAACACTTATCTGTGTTTCCATTTTGATAAACTGCTTCCTAAGTTCATTCGCTGAATGGTTGCATCTTTCACTTCCTGTCACAATTCCAAAGGTCATCATCATTCTTTCCTGCTGGATATGCGCATGGCGTATAGCACTGCTGGGTAGAGGGGTAATAGGGATCATGACCCTTCTCTCTAAGTCTTCGTCTCATTTGAGAGTCATCAATCTTTCCTAGCTTGGTCATCTCACTCACAAGGGAGCTTCTGGTATTTTTATTTATGGAGGACCAAATTTAACTCCCTATCATTTGGCCACAGCTCTCCTCTCTTAGACCTCCTGATTCTCTGCCCTGTTTCCCTCCTTCTGATTATCTTGGCTTATCTTACAATTCACATCCGTACACAGGAGCATGGAGTAGAGCTATTCCACCATTTCACCTTAATTTTCTAGCATACACAACCATGGTTACTGTATTTAGATCCAGAAGAAGAATTTTCAGAGCATGTGGTTATATAGGTTTTAAAGCACAGACTGCAAATGACCCTTTAACTTGCCCAAGTCCATGCAGTTTATCAATGTGAAACTTTCTCTTCTCTAGAAACAACACAACCTCACTAATCCTTTTCTCTTTCTCTCTTCTGGAGATTAATCTAGCTTTGTTGAAGGGGCAGATATGTGCAGCTATTTTAACAGCCTTAATTTTTTATTACTACTAAGAATTATTACTTTATTAAGTAATATACTGAAGTACTGAAATTCAAAATCAAACAATTTCTAAATGTATGTATTTCTATTTTCTATTTTTTGGGTTTAGGATTGCAGACCTTTATTTTCATTATTTGGATTGAACCACAGCATAACCCATTACATATATGTATATATTTGTATACCATACACACACACACACACACTCTCTCTCTCTCTCTCTCTCTCTCTCTCTCTCTCTTCCTCCATGGTTCAGATAGATATATATCAAACTTACATCAGGAATTATCTTGAAGTGGGCCTCCCCTGGTAGCACAGGCCACTGAGCACCGTGCTGTGAAGCTGTCCACAGTCTCTGCAGCGCTGGTTCAATCCCGGCCGGCCAGCGAGGGTCCCACATGGCACAGCAGACCTCTCCTGTCTCACCCGCTGCTCCCCTCAGCAGTGTACTTCAGTGTACTTGTCTGCCTGTTTTGTTCCCCACTCTGCTCTGGTGAATCCTCTCACCCTCCCGCGCATCTGGCCTGTACCCCGGTTCTTGTATCAATAAATAAATAAATCTTTAAAAAAATTATCTTGAAGAAATAGAGAAAGGGTAGGGATAGATTTTGAAGTGTTTAATATTCCAGTTTCTAAGTTTATGTATAATAAAAAAATGCATATATATGGCAAGAATTTTATTTATAAAAAAAAATTTCATTAGAAGCTAAGTAAATTTTATACTTCTAAAATTCAGTAGTAGGTTTAGAACAGTAATTTTCTACATATATACATCTCCAAAGCCTTCTGTGGTTTTGGTAATAAATGCTATTTTTCCATCATATTTTTACAGAAGGCATTAGTGCTTTGAATCTTGCTCTACAATTGCCTGTACATAGAATATTCAAAAAGCCTACATGGTTGTTCATTCTTCAGAAAACCAAGGTGTTGCAATGCTACATCAATCAGCCTTATACTGCACCTTCAAATATTAATGATCTCTTTTGTCAGATGAAATTTTATGTGAAACATTTTGGAAACTAGAAAGCACTGCAAATTTTAAGGATCTAACATGGCTATTAGAGGAATTATTATTACCATTTTTAGTAAAGTAATTTTTTCTGGCTCTACGAACCATTGGTAGAATGCACTTCCTACTACCAGAGAGGCAGAATTTTCTCTCTGCTCTATTATTTTTCTGCATATTAAAGTGTTGTGTCACATGCTGTTTTGTGAGTGGCTGGACAGAAGGGACATTCTATCTTTCAGAATGCCATGCAGCAGTTCATGCATTATATTCATAAGCATGATCTTTAATTTAATTTTTTTGACAAGTGCAGTGAAGGGTAAAATCAGGCAGTCATAATTTTGACTTTGCCATCACTCAAACAAGTTTAATGATTGACCAGCTTTTAAAAAAAAGTGGGAGTGAGGCAGCGCAGCTTTCTCATGAAGAAAAGCTTTGTTTTATTCTCTAGACCTTAAAACACTAGGAATTTAAGCAAAAGGTACATTTCCATGGTGAAAATCAGCATACAATAGAAGCCTGTATCACCATCTTGCCTTAATTATACTCTTTAAGTTCTGTTTGATTCTGGGCCATTCTGAACTATTCCCCTGTCTCAAATTAATAGAAGGACCCAACAGTCTATTTTAAATTTTTAGTCATGCTCTCCACATTTGCCTATTAAACAGGGCTGTGGTTATAACCATGGTGTTCTGTTTTAGCATCAGCTCTAGGATTTTAAAGGGGCCTTAAAGAATGTGGGTATTGAGACTTTTCAGAAAGAGAAAGGCAGAGCCTACCTGGATAGAGTCACCATAGGTCCTGTTTGACCAGAGCAATCCCTGTTTGTGCCTCCTGTCCTTGGCATATTATCAGGAACATTCCTATTCACTCCTGGAGGTGTCCTCCTATGGGTGATAATATATATGGATGCTCCTACCCAGAGAAAAGCAGGTCAGTGTGTGTGTGGATGTCTTTCCTGGTTTGAAGTTTCCTCAGTCCTTGACTATGACAGTGAAGAATTTAAAGCCACATCTAGGCAAAGCATAGTTTAATAGAAATGAATGAAAGTACACCAGGAACAGATCAGGGAAGGCAGAGTCTAGGCATGAACAATTGTAAGGACAGGTAGGGGACTCCGGGCTAAAATGGGGCTGAC